AATCCTAGCACTTGGGAGGCAGAGGCAGGCAGATCCTTGTGAGTTTGAGGCCAGCCTGGTCTACATAGTGAGTTCCAGGACAGCTGGGGCTACAAGGAGACCCTGTCTCAAAAACACAGAAAAAAAAAAAAAAGCTAAGCAATGTTATTTCTTGTCAAATTTATTTTCTTATTTTCAAATATTCACAGTCTCTCCTAATATTACATATGGATTGGTATTTGTGTATTAATTTCTGCATTAATTTCATTAGTTGCATATTTTTTATATGACAAACATGAAGCTCTAACATAAGTCACATTTCCTTTTTTTTTTGAGACAGGGTCTCAGTGTGTAGCCCTGACTGGCCTGGAACTGCTGGAACTCGTTATGTAGACCAGGGTGGCCTTGAACTCACAGAGATCCCCTGCTTCTGCTTCCCAAGTGCTGGGACTAAAGGTGTGCTCCATCACACACCCCCAGCTTATATTTCTTATTTTTATGACAAACATGACAGGGTCATCTTAGAGAAAACAGATCAACAAGCCAACAGTGCTGAGCATCTTTGGTTTGTGTCACCGTGGAGGTACGCAAAGAGCAACTGGGAAGCAGAAGGTCTCATGTAAGAGGGTTAAAGGCAGGGTAAAGGGACAGCAAGCATTACACTGACACATTTCATTATGAGTCTCTTTGGTGTGCAACATATTTTATCTTATCCATAGGATCTTGTGAAAATATGTATCAATAGAAATTCTGTTTGTTTTAGGTATTTGTAATAAGCTTTTAAAACATCAGTAATATTTTAAAATAGAGATTTCAAATTCCCTTTCTTCTATTCTGGGCATTCACTGCTCTAAGCCAAACCCTAAATTAGCTTTTAGCCTGTGCTGTTAGGATACAATTTATAAGAAAAGAAAAGACCAGACAATGTAAGTTGGAAATTTAGATGATTTGGACTGATTAGCCCCCAGGGAAAAGAATTCTAACCTGAAAGACTATAAGATGCAAGTAAACTTGATCTCAGATCAAGACACATTTTATAAATTATTAGAAGTCAATGAACATAGATGGCATTTTAAGGGCTGGATAACACACACTACCTTGGCTAACTCCAATTATTATATTAATATAGACTAGAACAACATTTGTTTTGTTGATTGTGATTTACTGAAAAGGTACTTGCAAAGTTTCACATATTCTTGTTATGTCAAGCAGTATAAACATGTAAACATTTTTGTATTCAAATACAAATCTATCCTTAGCCACAGCTTGTGGATTTTTTTCTTCTCATGGAAGTTGGGATTGAACCCAAAGCCCTGGACATGTGAGGTTAGCACTCTACCACCTAGTACAGCCTCAGCCCTTTAGCCAACTGACTGTAAAGCAGGTCTTTGTGTTCCTAAAATTAGTATAATTAACTTGAAATGTATATCCTTGTTAAAGGTGTAAAAGGATTATTTCAAGCAGGTCTGAAATTTGCTTTTATTCCTAGAAATAAGCTAGTGTATAATAAAATTAAGGAATTCTACATGAACTATTTAAATATAATACCACAAACCTTTATTTGTAAAGAACCAAACATTAACTACAATCACAATACATTTCAGCACCCATTTGAAACGGGAGTCATACAGTCAACCCAGGAAGGACACACTGAAATTCTTCTACATAGCATAAAAAGTTGGAGGACTTAATACATTTGACAACAGTCCCAAAAATGAAATGCTAACTATATGACATTTGTTCTTAATAACTTTGTTACAATATTGACTTAAAGCATCAATCAACAATATACTTAAGTTAGAAATCTTGTGAGACAAATGCTTTTGTGCATAAAAATGCTAATTACTTTAGATTACTAACATTTCCAATGTTAGACTTATTCTTTTTTTGACTTTTTATTTTTATTTTATGTATTTTGCCTGCCTGTATGTAAGTAAACCCATGTCCTGCAATACCCTCAGAGGACAGAAGAGGGCATTGGATCCCCTGGAACTGGAGTTATGGACAGTTGTTAGCTGCCATGTGGGTACTAGGGTTTGAACCTGGGTCTTCTGCAAGAACAGTCAGTGCTCTTAATTACTGAGCCATCTCTCCAGACTCAAGATTTATTTTATTTATTTATTTTTTAAAGGGGAGAGTGCAAACACAGTCCCCCACTACCACAAATTATGCAGCTGAGTTTCCCGCATTTGGGGATATTGCAGGGGTCAGCACATCCCAAGTGCAATGGATGAGCCTTGCCCTGGAAAAACCACCTTCCTGATCATGGTTGTCTTCCCTGCCAGGTAAGTATCCCAGATTTATTTTTAAACTTACTTTTCTGTATTTGCTAATTTGATCTTCGAACTCGAAAATATTTCATTCAATGCATGATACTCTTCCCTATTCTTATTTAGATCATAAATCAATATAAAATAATAATAATAGTCTTTCAAATCTTCCCTTTCCTCAAGGAAAGGAAACTTCGCTCCCAGAACACTTCTCATAGCCAACAGTCTCTTTTTGAAATAGATAGGAAGCCTCTTCCAGTTTAGAGTATTGTTTGGGGTTGTGTGAATGGTACTGCTGGGTACCTAACATAAGGAAAGCTTACCATTAGATAGATTTTCTTTACCTAAAACCATTGAGTAAGACTAAGATGTGCCTACTGTGGAACCAGAGCCCACTCAGGACTTGCAGATTGTGATTTCTCAATGCATTTAAAAGGAGAAAACAGTATCAAAAGTTTTTTTTAATTGAATTGCAATATCTCATGGTGATAAAATACTCTTTTATCTCTCTTCTCTCTCTCTCTCTCTCTCACACACACACACACAGACACACACAGACACACACACACACACACAGACACACACATGAAAAGACAGGTGAGTGAGTAGGTCATGCATTCAAGAGATGTTCCCAGAGATAGGGTCAGATGGAATTGTTTAACCTGGGGGCATATGTTGGTATTTTGAAACAGAATCTATGCCCCAAAGCTGCTCTGTTGGAAATGGGTCTGTGAAAGCTAGGTTCATGTTTGTTTTAATCTAAAAGGCTTCAGTTTTTGAATAATCAAAGACAAGCTATCAAAAGGATTGGTTATCTGACAGAGGCAGGCTTCCAGCCATGCTGTTTCAACTAAAAAATAAAGACATGATTAATGGAGTTATTTGCTTATGTCGAATAGCGCCTTTTAACAGATGTATTTGTTATTTTTATTCAATGTGATTTGTTTTCTGTGCTGGAGATCGAGCCGAGGGCCTTATGTGCACAAGTGCTTTGCCATGTCCCAGCCCAGTTTGTTATTTTTAGGAAGAACTCTAAAAATCCAAGGGGATAATCGCCACAGACCACTTTCAAAATGCTTTCTCAACCTCTCCATCCTGAGAGTCTGAGGGCTGGGAGCTTGGAAAGGCAACGGAATGAAGAGGTGTGAAGCTGATAGCTTCAGGTTAATGGTCTCTTATCCATAAAGTTAAAAAAAAGAAATCAATCATACTATTAAAAGCAACTATCACTTCCTCCGAGAGATGCTAAATATTTATGCTATATCATCAGATCACCGCCCGATCTTGAAGAATTAGTGAGACAACACAGCTAAAAAACCAACTGAATCTCGTCGATGAAAAACACAATACCAACAGCCAAGGAGTGTTGTGATTTTCTGTGATTAGAAATAAAAGAATCTGATGCTCTTGGCTGGCTTTGGCTCACCTGCATTCAAAGGAGATCAAGTTCTAGCTGGAAAACCATGGCACAAAGGAAGTCAGGCTCAGTGGTGGCCGGCATTGCTTTACAATGAATCAGCACATCTATATTTAAATTCTAGGATTTTATGTTCCAGACACAAAACAGCCCATTTTAGTTAATGAAAAGTAAGCAGGAAAAACATCTGGAAGAATGCATAAAATGAACTTGCTAGCATATGTATAGCATTTTAAATACTTTGAACTGCTTCACATATTTAATGTCATTTAATCCTCACAACAATCCTGTGAGGTGAGTGTTACCAAGTCTATCATACAGGCTAGGAAAAGCAGTTTGGCTAAAGCCGTATGCTGAATAAGGAACCCGGACAAGGCTGGGATCCATTTTCTTTTAGTCTGCCTCCTGCTTCCCCACATCTCAGCATAATCTCTGTTCTGGAACTGCTGGGTAAGACTGGGGATGAGAAGAACAGTATAAACTACTTTGAGTTAAACACAGTGTGATCATCTTGTGTCCCATGTCACTCTAGGAGACTTGCTTTTCTGTGAATCTATATTTACCAAATGGGAGCCATTGATTTTTTAAACATCCAGCATAGCACAAGGGCACCTTACAACACTGGTCAATGTATGTTTACAGTATCCAAGAGGGCATCCATAGAAACCTCTGTCAACTTCTTTCTATTCCTCTATAAAGTGTGGCATCTCTCATACAAATCTTACTTGGAAAAAAAGTTTGCAGTAAGAAGAAGAAAAAAAAAGATATTATTGGTCTGTACACAGAACTTTCAATCCTAACTTTCAGCACCTTGGTAATCATGTTCTTCAGAGCCAATGAAACATCAAGAATGTAAAAGAGAGACTGCCAGTTATCAAGTTACTATTTTGAATTTCAGCATGCTGAGAACTTTCTCCGTTTCACACTCAACTGGCCACCTTCTTTACCTCTTGCAGCCACCATGGCTAAGCTGCCCTCTGGAGCTGCATTTTATGATGTACAAATTGACAGTCTTCCTGGTCTTCTTTAAATCAGGAGCTCATTTCGGAAACAGTGCACATTACATGGCTTAAACCAATCAAGCCTTACTTATGTCAGAAATAAAACTGAAAAAAACAACAACCACAAAATATTAAGTCAGTATGGTTATGAATCAGGCCTACACATTTCAGTGTAGCATACACAGCAGTGGAGAAACTGCATGTAGAGGCCAAGTCCTGTTCCTATGGAGTTGATTTATGCTTATCTGACATAAGTTCATCTATTCTTGTGATGAACTGGACTCAGCTAATGATCCAGCAAGTCAACCAGAGTTGGGATGCATGGATGTGTGGCTCAGGTAGAAGCAGGAATGAATCTTATGGACTTGGAAGATTTAGGAGAGTCCTTCCATATCCCGGTGCTGTTTGTCGGGCTCCGGTTGTGAGAGTAAGAAGTATGTCTTCGGTTCATGCTGTCTGAATCATCCTTGTTGAATCGCAGTTTCATGCTTTGGCAGCACAGGAAACTTTGGACACAGTCTTGCAGGAGATGGCCACTAAAAAACATGTATATCCAGGGGTTGCAGCAGCTGTTCAAGGAGGCCAGTAAAGCAGTGATGGTGATGGAAGGGTTTTCTGAGTCTGTGAAAAGCAGGAAAAGAGATCATTTAAGTAGCCGAAGCAAAACCCCAAGCACTGGATGAACCTATCTTTCTATCAACTAAAGAGGAAAAACTTTGTGTATTAGTCTAAAAATGAACTATTTCATTTGTCAGGGAAACAGGTGGCTTTCAGAGAAATGAATGGGTTTTTGGAAATTGGTTATAAAAGCAAAATATCTTAAAATTAATGAAAATGTTTTAAACCAACAACTATTAAAACATTTACATATAATGGATAGGAATTCCAAGAAGATAAGATTATTAAACAATTGTTTAAAACCTCTGTATACTTTGCACTGGCACAAGTCTGTGTGAACAAACACAGGGTTTACAGAAGGGCAGTTTCAAAAGTGTGTAACCACATGCACAAAATTGTGTTCATCCTAATAATTCAGGCAAAGTAGGGCATTATGGACTCTGTTTTGTTTTGTTTTTTTCTTTTTGAGACAGGGTCTCCCTGAAGACCCAGCTGGTCTAGAACTCACTATGTAGACCAGCCTGGACTTAGTCTCACAGAGATCCGCCTACCTCTGCCACCCAAGTGCTGGGACTAAAGGCTTATGCTACTGGCTTATGTTTAGTAGTTTTAATCACTGAAAATATCCTTGGAAATATGAAAACTCAATGGAAGAGGACGGTTAAAATAGATTCCCAATGATTGCAAGCTTTAGTTGGTATTTTTGTGAATAATTATAAATTTAATTTAAAAGATCATTTTTTTATTGTAGTTCCAACAATTAAATTGTATTAGAAATAACACCTGAGCTTCATGAGCCCTGGTCTCAAAACAAAAACCAAAAACCAAAAGCAGCTGAATTAAGACACCAGAACAGGATTCTGAAACATTCTCTTATTATCTCTGGTAAACCACATGAATATCATAGCCCTTCCCAGTGAAGCTACTGCACTAACAATATACTTTCTCAAAAAACAAGAACAACCATCCAGTACCAAATCTCCCCCGATCAGCATGTAAATTTGAGTCAGAGCTCTCCTTATGGAGGAATGACTATTTACTGCTTTCTGCTAGATATTGCTATGAGTGACCATGAGTCCTGGGTGACATTAAAAAATAACAGACATCCTTAACACGGTTAGCACAAGTGACATTTTTAGTAAATCTCAGTAAAGCAATAGTTTGAAAGTTTTAATTTGAATGGCACTAAAAGAGGCTTATCAGATCAAGCCAGATGGGAAAGGTAAACAAAAACTAGTTTTCATTTATTTCTCATTATTGGTAATATGGCACACAAGAGTGTTTGTTTAAATGAAATTCACACTCAAATACTATTTAAAAGTAAAACTCTCAAAATGTATTGCATATATTTTTTACCTCAATCCTAAAATTACCAATAGATACAGCTTCTTCCAGACATTTGTATCCTGACCAGAATTTTCCTCAGAAACACTTCTGTACTACATTTGGTTTTTAAAAAAGATTTTTCTTATTAAAAGAAAAGATATTACAAGATACAAATTTAAATAATGCTCCCCTGCCCCAGGCAGTTCCCTGAGAAACAAGTTTTTCTGTTTTGTGAAGTAACCATCCTAGCCAGTAAGGGTAGAAAGCATTCTCAATGAACTGCTGAAAGATTTGTGTGGACTGCACAGCTCTGTTGTCAAATTATTACTGAAAGACTAATGAACAAGTCTAACAAATTTAGAAGATCAATAATCCTGTTTTGAAATACCACGAGAAAAGAAAGTTATTAGTGCTAGATAAATTAAATATTATGCTAAGAAAGGGAATATGAACTAAATGCCAATTTAAAATACTTGGACTTGTAAAATCTTTTTCCAGGCTTTTACAGAAAAGAAACAATCTCTACTTTTGACCTAGAAGAATTTCTACAAAATTTTTCTATAATTATGATACTTTCTTCAGTCCAAGAAAGAGCAGTTATGACTCTTAAAGAATACTTCCCTTAGCCTCTAGGCTGGACAGCAGGATATCTACACCCTCCTAGTAATCTGGCAAAAAACGTCACTATTGTTTTGCAGTCAGTGGGGGCACCACTTCTGGCCTTGGGATCATGATCACGCATGCTGCAAATGCTGACACCTGGTTGTACCTGGGGTGGAGGTCCCAGGAGTTTGCATTTTTGTTCATTTTCTGTCAAGATGCGACCCTTATGCATACAGAAGTTTAAGAACTATTGGGCAAATAA